AGCGCAGAACTTGTAGAATTCTGCAAAGTGAATGTATATCAAAGCAGTCCCCTGATTTATACATGCCGGAAGAATAAATTTCAGTAATTTGGGGCAAATGTGCGTAGCTACAAGGTTTACTTTGCAGGTGTCCATGTCCACTTTCCTTTGTGCGTATCTGCCATGGTTCTTTAAGTTGGCAGTTCCTTGAGCAGCTTCAGTTTGGTTACGTTTGCCAATCTGGGCACCTCCACTGATTTGCAGACTGATTTCTCCCTTGAACTGGCTCAGAGCCGACCCTCTCCAGGAAGTCTTCCTTGATGAAGGATGTGATGAGGAAGGTTGGGGATGGGGATGCATGTGTGAGGCTGGGTGACACTGAGGGAGGTTGTGCATGTTTGTGACAATGTGGCAGCATGATGACCCATGTGGGATTGCATGTGAGTGTTGGTGACTGTATGAATCTGTTTTATCAGCCAGGGTTCCAGCAGGAGACAGGGCACACTCAAACTGGGAAGAGTTTTTAAAAGGGACTATCTCCAAAGGAGGGAGCCCTGGTGGTGCAGACGGTTAAGTGCTCGACTGCTAACTGAAAGGGTGGCAGTTTGAACCCACCCAGCGGCTCCACAGATGAAAGACCTGGTGACCTTCTGTAAAGATTACAGCCAAGAAAACCCTATGGGGCCATTCTACTCTGTCACTTGGGGTTGCTATGAGTCCAAAACCATTCAACTGCACCCAACATTTCCAAAATTGTGGACGGTTAGGAAACTTACAAAGGGTGGTGCAGTACCCTGGGGCTAGCAACAGTGGGAGCCTTTACAACTCCTAAACCGCAAGGGATGAGGGAGGGGAGGCCATAGGAAGCTGAGAGTGTAGCTGATAGGAGCACTGGACTTTGGTTGAAGGATGCAGCCAGCCATGGTAACCTGGTGGGGAGGAAGAAGGGGGAATAAGCATCCCCCTCTCCTCCCTCCCCTCAGTCTCCTGCTAGGGATTCTCATTGGCCAAACCCACCAGGAAGCCAGGGAACAAGGGAGTCATTGATGCAGTCCACAGGGGTCAGCCTCCCCAGGACACTGGTAGGGAGAAGGGTGGAGGGACCAGCATATCACTAACGGCCTGGGGGGTGTATCTTCTGTTCCCCAAAGTTCACAGTAATACTTCTTCCCCCTCTGGGACTTCCTCTCTTCTCCTTGGGCCCGAAGGGGTGGGTGGATTGCTGCTTGGAGAGCACTCTGGGGTTGTGGGGAGGGACAAGGCTCTCCCCTCCTATCAGCCCTCCCCTCATTGGCTCTGATTCCCACTTCCCACTTCCTGATTCCTGCCTGTCCTGGCATCTCAGATGGTTGCAGAAATTGTCCACGAGAGGAGCAATGTCAGCCACTAAGTCAGTGTTTTTTCTCACACCCGGAAACACTGCACCACTCCCAAACAAACCCACAGGCACGCCTGTTGCGGCCACAGGCCCCTGACATGGTCACCACAGCCATGGCTAGAGTCATATGTACATCAAGAAAATAATACATCTTGGCACACTGCTACACTCTGCCATAGTCATACATAAAATGACAAATGGCACAGTAATACAAACTATTTCACTGTCACATGTCAAACATGCTGACATACTCTGTCACAATCATCCATGTGAAATCAGTGTAGGAGCAGGTTAGTGAACAGGTTAGCAGCAATGGCCCTTGAGTCAGACAAGTCTGCTTGACCTTTCTGGCCTCAGTTTCCTCGTCTCTAAAATAGGGATGACAATACTTGCTCTTTCCTCATGGAATTTTGAGGATGAAATGAAATAATGATTAAGAAGACCTTAGCACAACTTGAAGAATGTAATCAATGTCACTGAATTGTACATGGAGAAACGGTTGAATTGGCGTGTTTTGCTGTGTATATTCTCTACAACAACAAAGACCTTAGCACGGTGCCTGGCCTAGAGTAAGACACTCCAGAAATGGTAGCTGTTGCTGTGAATTGCCGTCTCACATTCTCCTACATCCGCACCCCTATGCATTTATTCGGATCAGTACCAGTGAGCACACACACCTACACAGGCCAGCCAGGCACCCTTGGATGCACACACCCATCTGAGCAGCTCATGTGCCCTCCGCCACACACGCCTGTCAGGAGCATGTGTGCATTCACAGACAAGTTCCTTCTGACCAGACTGTTCTTTCCCCAGACATCCGTGTGGCTCGCTTCCCACTACCTTTACGAAGTCTTTGCTCAATCAAATATCACCTCTCAATGAGGCCTAGCCTGACTTTTTAAAATTGCAAACCCCAGCACTTTCAATCCCTTACGCTACTCTCTAAATACATAGTTTTTAAAGCATCACTGATCTTCTAAGACTATGTACTATAGTTTACTTATCTTCTGTCTGCCCCAATTACAATGTAAACTCCATGAGGGTAGGGAATCTGGTCTATTATGTTCGTTGATGCATTCCTGATGCCTAGAATGGTGTCTGGCACATGTTGGATGGAATGCATTGTCTATGCACATGTCCACATGGGTTTCTGGCTTTCTCACTCTCTAAAACAAGCACATCCAGTGAACCCACTCCCCACCTGTCATGGTTTGAATTATGGCCCCCCAAAAATGTGTGTATCAGTTTGGCTGGGCCACGATTCCTGGTGCTGTGTGATTTTTCTGTATGTTGTAAACCTGCCTCTATGATGTTAATGAGGGAGGATGGGTGGCAGTTGTGTTAGTAAGGCAGG